TTAATTATGAATAAATTAAAAAAATTGAAATATTAGCAATAAAGATTATAGAGTTTAGTGATTTAACAATTGGTGATGTATTTGAGATAGTAATAGTAATAATGAGCATGACTTCCGGAAACTACATACTTACTTTGATAAAGATGCTCATCATTTAAGGCAAAATAAATGAATTAGTAATAATACTTCATCTATTTAACATTTGTCTTTATTATGGATTTGGATTAAGACCTTTTTTTTATATTCAAGACTTATTTTGTAGTGAATTTAGTTTAAGATTAAGTTTTTTCTTATTATCATACTTGATGAACTTATCTTATATTATATATTTTAATATTTGTTAGTTTAAATCTTAAAAATTATATGTATTTAATTAAATTTGTTATGTTAAATGGTCTAAATGACGATTTTCAAGTTGATCTTATGATGATTATTTTTTAAGAATAAAATGAAAGTGATATACAATAGTAAATTTTAATAAATATGTTAAAAAATTTGTTTTTTAAGTTGATTGGTTGGACTAGTAGGGTGAACCGATTCAACTGGTTCAACCAGACTCGGTGGCCAAACCGAGTCAGCCACCAAACTGGGCCCAAAAACACCGATTCAAGGTTTAGGACACTGTTTTAAAACCCCAACCGAACTGATCAGTCTAATCGATTGAACCAAAACCGATTACAAAATCAGTTCAAGTTATTACATAAATGGTTAAATGCTAAATTTGGTCCCTTAACTTTAAGAAATGCACATTTTTTATCCCTCAACAATTTTTTGCACTTTTTTGATCCCTCAACTCTAACAAATGCACACCGTTAGTCCTTCTGTTAATTTGAGCCGTTAACTCCGCACATGTGGCATTTATATATTTTTTTTTTATGATGTGGAGAGCAAAATTTAAAAAAATGATGACATGGACAAAACATTTTGCCATGTTCAAACAGAAAACATTTTCTCAGCATCCAAACACCCTTCTAGCCAAACAAATGGAAACCCACTAAGAATTGCTTCTTTACCCATTAGTCATTGCTTCTGTTCTTTTCATTGCCAGTGATGTTCTTTCCATTTTGAACATTAAAATCATTTAGACGATACTTAAGAAATATGAAGAAAAAGATCTCAAAAACCCCTCACAACCTGCAATTTACATAAAAATCTCTTCAAACAAACATATAACAAAAAAAAAAAAGTGGAGTTGGGTTCGACGGAACCCAGCAACTGGGTTCGGTGGAACCCAGTTGTTGGGTCCCTCCAAACCCAGCAGATGGGTTCCATCGAACCCAAATTTGCTGGGTTCCCTTGAACCCAAATGGCTGGGTTCCAGGGACCCAGCAACAGAGGAAGAAGAGGAAGAAAAAAGAGGAAGAAAGAAGAAAAAAAAAAAGAAAGGAAGAAGATGGGTCGAATTTTTTTATTTTTTATTAAAAATATAAATCCTAAACAAATTTAGTTTATGAGTTGGCATTGACACTTCATAAAAAAAATTCCAAATCAGCACTTTTTAAAGTTGTTTTCGCCATGTCATCAAAAAAAATATAAAAAATGCCACATGGTAAAGTTAACGGTCCAAATTAACAGAAGGACTAATGGTGTGCATTTGTTAGAGTTGAGGGATCAAAAAAGTGCAAAAAATTCTTAAGAGATAAAAAATGTGCATTTCTTAAAGTTAATGGACCAAATTTAGCATTTAACCTTACATAAACCCAGTTTGTAATAAGACCCGGTCAAAGTTAGTCAAACCCAGTCAAAACTCAGAAAACCAAGGCAAACTCGTTGACTTTTGAACTGATGAACCATCTGATTCATAAATTTTGAAAACTTTCAACAAGTTTGTGCACTTAAGGGGATTCGAACCCCACTCCTTCAACACTCATTTTGAAGTTTTCACCATTGGGCCACCAACACCACTATTGGCACTTTTACACAAAATTTTATTTATTTAGATAAAATAAAATAAAATAAAGTGAAGAGTGTATTTATGTAATTTTTGACAATTAATTATTTTCCAAGTCAATATCATGTTAATGATTTTAATTGTATATTTAATAAATAAAATTTTTTAATATGTTCTCTTAGGATATAAGTAAAATTTTATTAAATATAGTATTTTTAATTAAT